AGGGTACATTTCCACGACGCCGTTTTAAGGCTATAAGGGCTTAGTAAATGTTATGTTCGACTACTGGAAATATTCAATCGAATACTTATTCAAAAATGGTTTAGTTTGATTTTTGTGCTGTTATACTGAACTTGTTAATCTCTCGTTACTCTACGTAATCTGTAGTAAACGATCGTAGCATAGCTACGAATATGAAGTAGAAAGTAAATACTAAATACTAATACATGTATCACGTTATCATGTTCCCTGATATTTTTGTTTTGACATAACCAACTTATTATTTAACTCTTCTAAGATTAATTTAATGTTTCCTTCATCTTCTTTAAGTACTTTGTGTTTGTTTATTCGAAGGTTGACTAATATTTAAACACTTAACTCACGATCTATGAAACTTATCTCACGATTATTTTATTTATTTAAACAATGCCCGTATTTAAATAATTACGAGAAACAATCAGTTCAAATGCACCTAATGGAACGGTTGCTATGTCCATTCTAATTACATTTACCAAGTATTAAAACAAATAAAACGGGATATAAAATGCTAATTTAACTTGATTAGATTTAGAGGTGTGTTTACAGGGATTGGTTTCGTTTTATACTTTGTTTACAATAAATTAGTGTTCACCAAGCACTAGTTGTACAATTTTAATTTTTTTTTTACGTTTCAGTCATAACCTCTTTCACACAATCCTTCCACGCTTTCTTTGGTCTTCCTCTACCTTTGTAGCCAACCATATTCAATCTTACCACTTTCAGGTTTTTGTTCCCGTCGTTTCGTCGCATATGTCCATACCACGTTAACCTTTTGCTTCTCAATTTCTCCACCACTGGTGCTACTTTCAAACTTCCATCCATCTTAACATACGCATCTCAGCCACATGCATTACATCAATGCAATCTTGAAATGTATTTAATTGTCATCATAAATTGTAAATTAAAAGTTTTCCAATTCATCAACTGGCTATTGAACCACACGCTTAACACTACTGTGTCAGCATTCTATATTTAGTCACAACTTCAATGCTGTCTAGACTAAATTATTTTATCAGTATTGAAGAATATTCCAACGTTCTTACGTAAGTGTTGCCTGAATGTTCCCCGGAATAAAGATTTTATCGTCAGAATACAAACTTCAACTTTTCTGAAGTCCTACATATCTTGAGTAGTGCTTATATTTAGTTTTTTCGTTTATGAAATGTCTATTTTCGGAATAAACTTAGAAACAACAGGGATCGGAATAAAAAACTCATTATTGAAGAAAACTATCTTGATCGTTTTTAGTCCCACGCTTATTCGGAAATTAACAAGAAAATTTATATTTTTTAAAGTAGAAATTGGCCAAACAAGTAACTTACTTGTAAGTCAGTAGGTGACTTGACAGAAGAGAGGATAAAAGGAAACATCCCTAATTTTTTTAATAAAAATCGTAGGGAATTTTAAGAAGATAAGGATGTTTCCTTTTATCCTCTCTTCTGTCAAGTTCTGCTCTGCGCTAAAAGTGATGGGAAGGGTATTTAAGTCGTTATATCATTATTATTGAAGCTTGGATATTGTTCATATGAGAAATAAATTCTTGAATTCCAGTTATAAATCGATAAGGAATAAGATAAGATATTCGTAAATCATGCAATGTCAAAGATCCTTTGAGTACTTTTGTTGAAACGAGTTTTATCCACTCGTAATCCTTTGTCCTTGAATGACCTTTTCCAATATCGAAAGTTCTTTGACATTGACAAACGAAATAAAGCTTCTTCAAAGTTCCTGACACGTGACCTCATGAAATACTTGCCTTAAGGTTTATTAAAATTTTAATTTTCACTGTCAACATGAGTTTCGTTAAATCAAATTAATGTTTATTCAGACAACAAAATAATGATATTTTCCTACTTTTAATGTTGCTGTAAATTAATTTATTTAGTTATCAAGTTTATTTTTAAAGTCGAAAAACCAGACAGACAGTCAATAAGAGACATTTAAATCTTGTAGATGCAGGTTCAAACAAATAAAGTGATTGATATTTTTAAATGTGTTACGTCATAAATAAAATCGCGTAAAACAACTATACTTGTTCTTGTACGTATCGAATGTAACGATTTTTTGAAACTGTTTGTAATAAAACATTGTGGCTGATGCACGATAACCGAGCGATTGGAGACGAGACAATTCTCACCGACATATCTCACAACAATTTCGATTGAAAACAGTTTTATACCCTTTTGTCGTTTACACAATCATTTTTACAGTCTTGTACGTACTTAAAATGTCTGAGCCGATTTATATCTAGAAATTTCGATAGAATCTTAGTAATTTTATAAATGTGAAAGTTTGTAGTTTTGGGTGGATGTTTGTTAGATACCTACTAAACGACTGAACGGATCTCCATGAAATTTAGCATAGATTTAGCATAGTCTGGAAGAATACACAGGCTACTAAAATAGTCTTTTTAAATCTGCGCGGAGGGAGTCGCGGGCGATAGCTTGTCTGTGATTACAAAAATGGTCTTAACATTTACCGTTCATGAACAAATCTTTCTGCATTTAATTTAGTTAACATAAATATTTGTAGATACCTACTCCTCTACTGTTATGTTTGAAACAGATTTTCACTAGTATAAAAGGAAATAAATCAGCGAAACATTACCAAATCAATGTCTAAGACCAGCTACTACGCTGGTGTTGCCAAAGTAAATTTCGGCTTGTGTACATTTAGAGCCATCTTTTAGTAATAATTTTCCTATCATTTTTTTGCAGTAAGACAACAGAACGGTGTAATCTCTTACACACGCCATCTTTCAGTAAAGTAACGAAATAACAGCTCTAAAATAAGAAAAAATAAGATAAGGTACTCATCTCTCGGATTTTTTTCCTAAATATACTAACCAATGCCCTCTATCTGAATTTCTGAGAGATATACCCTCTCACTTCGTCTTAATTTCATACGGTTTTAATTCGTTATTCTACAGAGAGATGGCGTGTGCAGGAGTTAAGATCGTTTATTTTGTACCAATACTTTACTAGTTTGTATAATAAAAAAGAATCAGTTTTGTTTTATTGTGTAAACAGTAAATTTCAAAGAGTTAAAAAAAATAATTGGGATTTTGATAACACGTTAAGTGCTACCGATTCACTTGGCAATATCACATTTATAAAAAAACCTAGCAGATAATGTATTGACTGTTTATTAACTGCAATATTAGTCTCTTTATTGATACCGCGTTTGATTTATATCTGCCTTAGAAAATACTTTTGTTTACTTTTAAATTCTTTTCATATTTAATACTAGAGAAAAAGTTTATATCATCAAAAAAATGTAAAACGTTTCTTTTTTTCAATATAATAGTATTTGCATTACACCATAAAGTTATTATTTTGGTATAGTTATCTATACTTCTATACTAATATTATAAATGCGAAAGTTTAGATGGATGTTTGTTACAGTTTGTAGTCTAAACGGCTGAATACTTCAATGAAATTTGGTACAGATGTAGAGGATATACTGGAAGAAAACATAGACTACTCACTTATCATCGTCATCATCTCCTTATCCTAATCCCGTAGGGTCCAACAGGTTTTTGTCCTCCACTTAACTCTATCATACGTCATCTCAGTCATCACTCCCTTTTTGATCATGTCACCTTTTACACAATCCATCCATCTCTTTCTACCTACCGATGTACCCTTCCACACTCATAACTAACGATCTCCCTGTAACATGCGATTCATCCCTCCTCATAACATGCCCATACCATGCTAAACTTTTACTCCTTACCACTAAAGAAGTAGTCTTTTCACTTATGTTTTTTTTAAATTAAATGCCGACGGAGTCGCGGACAAAAGCTAGTTTTTAAATAAAACACAAAATGACATAAAACAGTTGCGTTAACTTTATTTTATAATCTCCAAATACATAATTTAAATGCTACATTTTACTGTACAAAAATATTTGTACAATATTCAAAATCTAAACATAATAATACAATCGATGTAAGTACGATTTTTTATTTAAACATACATTTTTAACATAAAGCTCAAATTATTATATTAAATAATTGAAAATGCATTTAATAAAATTAATATTAAATTAAGCTTTGGTATTGAATAAACTTTTATTTATTTTATAATTAAATTTTATCTAAACATTGTTCACTTAAACTAAATTTGTTCTAAACATTCGGTAGAATAAGTCCTTTTTTAATTTATTATTAACTATTACATCTTAAATATACTTAATGGAGTTAAGTTAGATATCAACGGGATTAAGTTCTGATAAAACATAGTACAGAAAAAGTTTCTATTCTGTCAAAGTTAGAGATGTATTTAATTTCATACAATTTGGACATTATTTAATATAGCGAAAAATTGTATTATTCGTAGTTCTTTAAATTCTAAACTTTTTACTTAAAATAAAATATTTAAGATCGCATTTTATATAGTTACCTGACTTTTAGTCAAAACATTAATTTTAATCGTTTTTATGAGCAAACCATATTTTCTTCTTTACAATGAAACACATTATTGTTAATCTTTGAACATAATTGATGCGAGTTTGCTTGTATACTTGGCATTATTCAATCAGTTAACTTATTTTTTTATTTTGACATTTAATCACTTAATACTACAAAAATATACACATATTACATACACGAAAATTATTGATATTTTTAAAATCTTTTAATGGCAAATAATTTGAAAAATCATGTATTAAGAATTAAAACTAATCTTTTAGAGACTACAAAGCCTCTTGCATTTTTAGTTGTTTAATTATTTAGTAAAATTACATTGCAATTTAATCGCCTCAACATATTTACAAACAAAAAACAAATGCCTGTGTTTTAAAGCGTTTTGGCCGTCGAACTATTATATTCGACCTAGAGAGTTTTCTAACATAAAATAAATAAATAATACATCAACGAATTTTAAAAGACAATATTAAAACACTATGTTAATTTAATACTACAGACGGCATCTTATTATAACAAATACCATTGATTAATATAAAAGTTACGTTATACAATTATAAATAGGATTTTTAAATACATCAGTTGAATCAGCCCGTGTCGTTCCCGTCCCGTCTCGTGTGGTTAAAGCATGACGTCATCATCGGGTACAGAAGCGGGCGTCCGTTGTCAGTCCCGGGATGAAATTACCACCAGGAGTTGGCTACGGCGATTGTCAGGCTGCGATCTTGATATGCTGCTGCTGCGAGTTCGATTTAGGACCTGATTAAAAAATGTAAAAATTTAGTTTTACAATTTTACATGAATTTTACTGTTTTTCTCGAATTGAAGATTACTCCAAAAATGTTGCTATCAAGTTTGGGATGAGAAAAGCTGATTCCAAATAACAGAAAAAGATGCAGAAAGAAGAGAAACCTTTAATCCAGGTCTATTTATTATGATGAGTTTCACAGGCTTGTAGAATGATGGCCTACGATGCGCTACAATTAGCCGGAAATAGACTGAATAGAGATTTAAATGGGCAAAGATGGTCAAGGTATGATGATAACGACTCAAGGAAGAGAGAGAGAGAGAGGAAGAGTGGATGCTGTATACTTACCGTTGCTACAGAGTGTGACCGTCGTGCATGCGTAGAACTAAGCAGGTCAGAGTTTGCGGTGGAGTCAGATCGCGAGCGCTGTGTGCCGCGTGCGTGTCTCTTGTGCGATCTGCCGCACCACAGCCAACGGTACGGCGGGACTCGTCTGCAATTTTAAATATTACAATATAAAATCGATTTATATTTGTAAGTTGTACTGTTTTATGCAAAAAAGGAATGAATCTTTAAGATGATTTTTTTGTTTTACAATTGTCCAAGAAAAGAACATTTTAATTTCTTGTGTTTAAAATAAACATTTTAGTCAAAAGACATTAGTGACCATTTAACAAACGCTAAAGCTTCAAAGTCGGACCTTTAAACGAATTAATGTGGCAACATGCTTAAATTTCACACAAAACTAAATTTAATAAATCTGTAACTGCTCACATCATCAACTAGTAAAATACAGTCGTAAACGTTTGATTACCTGAGACTGGCGTAAATGTGCGGCGAAAACATGCAGCATATTAAGGGGTTGGCCGCAGAATTTAACGGAGCCAAGCTTTGGATGAGAGTGGCTATCGCCAGATTGGTCTGCGTGGGCGGGATGTGGTTGTATACTTGTAGCAGGTCGAACACGATGTACGGTGACCAACACAACACGAATACTGAGGACATAATAATAAATATGACATGAAATTCAATGCGTAACTGTTTTAAATAAATCTTTAGAAGTTTTGCATAATCCTGTTTAAAGAACAAAACTCTTAAATGGATACAGTGCACAAATAAATGTCGATTTGTAAAAAGTAATTACCGCGTGTTATAGTGATTTGTTGCTATCTAGTTGTATTCTACGAAATCAATTATGTTTTTATGTTACGCGACAGAGATTTTTTTATAAAGGAACAAAAAGAATTTACATGCAACGTATATTTTAAATACACATTTTTGTATAAGTAAAAAAAACAGCGATAATAAATCTTTCAATGATCTAAAAAGTTTGAATGTAGCAAATAAAAAATCTCTTTGAAAGTATCAAATGAAAAGGGAACAAAATATCATAAAAAAGTTTACGATTTGTTGAGATAAAACTAAAAAGATAAATTAAGTAAAAGTAGACGGAAATGACTTCGTGATGCTGGTTTAAAAATATTTTGATCTTGAAAAAGTTCAAATAAAAAAAGAAAATCATAATTTAACAGTCGCTTTTAATGGCCATATGTCTTATGCAACAGAGGTCGTAAACCCGTTTCCTGTTAGAACAGAGCAGACAAATTATTTTTATAGTCAGACGTAATTCATGGCAGATTTATGTTTTCAAATCCAGATTTTTTTTTTAGCACATTTATTAACACTTAACGTAATATTAGAAAAATAAACTAACAAAATGAAACACTTCATAAAGTATTGATGCAACGGAAAAAATGCAACATTTTTTCTTTCTTTTTTGTTTGTTTTTATGAGTCACAATACATCTGTATCTGAATCAAATAACAATGATCATCAGCTTGCTCTTGTCCCTACGGAAGATCTGCACAGAATGTGCTCTTCCTTACTCTATCAACCTTCTTATCTGAATTCACTCCCTTCTTAAGCATATCTTCTTTCACACAATCCATCCATCCTTTTTTCGGTCTTCGTCTATCGTTGTAGTCTACATTACATTTTAACTCTTTTTTTATGTTTAAATAAAGTTCATTTAAATTATGGTTACTTACCAAATACAATAACGAAGGTCATTTTGACACTTTTAATTTTCGCTCTTGGTATCAGACCTCTGGAGCTCGCGCGTCTTGAATCTGGGTCGCATTCCACTTGGCCTGGAAATTAAGGCTTTCGTTTATGTTTATGAAGTTTTTTCTCAGGATAATAAGATAGCTTTATTGAGGGGGTGAAAATCAAAATTTTGGATGTTATAACTAGCATAGAAATCATTATTAGCAATTCTACAGAAATAAAACCTCACCGTTTCTCATAGTCTTAGTCCTCCGGGAGTTGATAGGTGGGCTCATAACTACGGCCTTACTCTTTGTCCAAATGGTCAGCACTATGACTGCGTAGCACGCTGCTATAGCCAGTGCTGGCAGTACAAATATCATCACCGACACCATTGACATCCATATCTGCCATCTTCGAGGAGTGCCTAAATCTATCCAGCATTGTAGCTGCCCTGTGAAGTAGAAAATGTTAACAATAAAAAAAAAGACATATAAAAGCTTAATAACAAAATATGAATCACCTGGCTGGTCTGTTTTATTGGTCTTTGGTAAAAAAATTCAGATGGTCAGAATTTAAATCGTGTCTGTACTGGTAATTATATGAAATAGCCAATTAATATTTTTGGGATGGATGAAACACTATCAATGTAGAACCTTACCTTGAACTTCTTTAACTTCGTACAAAATTAATAGAGGTATGGAGAAAATTATGCTTATGAGCCACGCGGATACTATAAGACCTCTAGCGCGGTTCCCTGAAATTAATTATTAATCCGATTACATAAATTAAAATTTAATAAATCAAAAGCTATTTTTAAATAATTTAAATTAGTAATTGACGTAAGACATTGTAGGACAAATATTTATAGCAAAATAATTTTCATAAAGAGAGATCGTAACGGAATTATTTCAAAGTGACATCATGACGAAAAGCGGTGGTGTTCGCTGAACCGTCCTTACCGGAAACTTGACAATAACATGAAAGACAATATGTATGACAATATGTATGTATATCTGTTATTTATTATTAACATTAATTAATACATTTGTAAACATATGACATTTTCTCTACGAATACTTCCTGAACACAAAATTTCACGGAAGACTTAACTCCTATTTTAAGCAGATGCTTTACTAAGGTTCTTCAAATGAAATTGTCTATTTCACTCATGTACACATTATTGGAATAATAATTATAATTAGAATAACAGCAATAGAGTTAAGAATCGTATCATGCATTTAGACACATTTAGAGAATCTTACTTTAGTCATTTTTATTTTAAAAGAGTGGTTCAAATTCAACATTTTATGGACTTTTAAATTCAAAAGACAAAGTATCTCGATTGATTGTATCATAAAAATTACGAGACAATTTCGTTTCTTTACCAATTAAATTCTGTTATAAAATTTAAGCAATCCATTTCGTTTATATTGATGTGATCTTGGTACATTTATAATTGACTTCATCGTAAGCTAAAATAAAATTTCGGTTTTATTTCATTTTTTATTACTAACATCACAAAAGAAAATAACATTCCTATCTACCACAGATATGATCATTTTTAATTAATTAGGCAAAAAAATTAATGCACTGTTACTATCCTAAATTTGTTTTTTTTTATTGCCATTTTAAATTCTTTCGCAAGGTTCAAACAAGGTCTTTAAAATACCGTTTTTTTATCAATAAAAATGTTATAAAACCGCCCATTAAACATGTATGATTTATATCAATTTTGTAATTGTAAACATTAAGTTACGCCAACTTAATAAACTTAAATTTAAACATTATAAGTGCCTTTACAAATGTGGCCGTTACACTTTGATTTTGCAAAGTTTTAGCCTAGTAAAACAGGTACTTCAAACAGGTCGTAAACTTCTATTTCTTGTCTCTTTTAAAATGGAAATTTATACTTACAGCTTCCAGAGAAGTTCATTGGATTAGTAATTGCGTCACAACGATCTATACTTAAAGCCACGAGAACGTATGTAGACGCGTACATAACCACGGCCTGGAACAAAACATTATAAGTTATGTTTAACAGTGTTAGAGCCCGCAATAAGATCTATTTCACAATACGCTCGCGCGGTATAATACTACGACAGCCCAGAATACAGGCGTGAAGAGGAAATCACTCGTCCTTTCGTTTGATAAGTGAGTGTGCCGGAGGCTCTAATTTTAGACCTCTTTCCCTTCCCACAAATTTCTTATATGAAAGGGAAGAAGTTGCATAGAAATGGGAAATATTCTCAACGACAGACGACGCATTTACAATTGCGATTGTCTATGGGTAAAGATCACTTCGCTACTATGGCGAAGTTTAAGTGGGCGTTTGTAATAAAAATTACAAGTACCAATAAAATTGCCATTTTAATATGTCGTCGATCTCAAATATCATTGATTAAAATAACTTTGATATTCGCAAAGTTATCTAAGAGTAGAGATTCGAAGTCCGTTTCTTGCACGCTTCCACGATTTCCCTTAAAGTTTGATAAGTATTTTCCGATATCAGCGTTTACTAAACGTTCATTAATCTCTTTAACTAGGTTTTACAAAGTCATTGACAGCTGTTTTAAAAGCACCTTATTTACGTCTCGCGTATGTTTATGAGTGATCTGTTTCGGCTTCGGGTAAAAGTTTTCATTATTTTGTCTGGTAATCATAACGCTGGGTGCTATCCAATGTACACAGCGACCATTTATACCGTATTACCTCTTTACCCATACTACGTTTCCCGTAAGATTACAAACTGACTTCCAGAATGGTCGAATATAAATTACATCTCGTAATGTTGACGTATGTTTACGATACATATAAGAAACAATAAACTATCATTTCATTTTGATCTAAGACCGCGCGCACACTTTTAACTAAACTTCCGCTCAACTGTTAATTCTCGCTTTGATCTCTATGACCTTACATGGAGAGGTGCACTAACCTATTTTAGTTGTACAAATGAACAGTTGAATTGGCTGCGAAATAATAGACTAAACAATCGCACAACTGTTGTGCGATGTTAATTCAAATGTGTGCGACCGCTCTTAGAACTTACTGTCAAAAAATTCTTGAGTCCATCTTTATTATTCCTCATAGCTAATGCTCATGATCCACATCCACACTTAACTTTGTTTCTACAGATTCAGGTATAGTAAAATGTAGTCTTAGAAATTCTTCTCTACAAAAATATTCCGCCCTTGTACTCGAGGCAATAAAATGCAAATCGTTTGAGACAATTTCACGCCTTCAACAACAATTTAGTAATGGTTTACGTAATTACATCGTACCGTTTTTTAGATTTATCTTTTACACCAGATTAACCTCCGCCTCCTCCCACCAGCCTTATTGTAGCTATTATGTCTTATTGTACAATTATTATTACATTGATGTCGATATCAGCCGAGGTATGCAATGATATTTCTACGTAAGGCTTTTTACATTTTTACCATAACAATTTACAATTGAAAGGACAGTAACGTTTTAGTAATGATGTTTGGAAGTTGGATTTTTTATAATGTTTTTTTTTTTTTTTTACTTTTTGATTCTTAATGACTTATAAAACAAATATACTTTTGCCTGTGTTTGTGTTTTAAAAAAAAAGTAGCCTTTGTTCTTCCAGACTATAATTTACATGTATGCTAAATTTCGTCGAAATCCTTTCTGCCGTTTAGGCAGAAAACAGTTACAAACATCCATACATACATCTATCTATACACATATTTTGCATTTATAACATACTAGCTGTCCCCGCGCGACTTCATCTGCATGAAATTATGAAGATTTTATTTTATTGTTTACATTTGTCAAATTATCAATTACAAATGTCAAAATGACATGACATGATGACAACCTTGCTTCCTCGATGTTGGCAGCAACTTATGGTCTCTTTCCCACAATAGGGTTTTTATTCAAAATGTTTACCCCTTAAATTTAATGGCGTGAAAATATATAGCCTAAAGCGTGACGCAAGAGTAGGGCTTTTTATTAAAAAAAGATTTATTCAAAAATATGTTGAAGTTGCTGACATCTTAGGCAACAAAGAAGTGTGTGTTTTCGCTGTTATAGAAAAGTAAGATGACGAACAGTCTTTTTCTATTATTCCCATTTTATTCTTTTTACGTTTTCTTTTTTTTAATTCCACTCGTACGAAGTTGCCGGCGAAAGCTATTATAAAGTAGTTTCAAGTATTAAGTAATAAATCAAAATACAAAACAAATTCAGACGTATTAAAATTAGAAACCTTATCTTGTGATGTAGGGCTGAAGGAATTAATTGAAATTTTCGTTAGTTTGTAAATTAACGTTATAAGGAAACGTGACTAATTGAAATTCACCCTCCGACCTATTACGTAGGAATCGTTTTCATTTCACGTCTGTGGTTTTTCGTCGAAACTTGTTTGAGGATTGATTTCGCTAACTTTCATGAGATTTCCATAAATTTTCATATTAATAACAGTGTTACATGACTAATAAGCAGTTATATAAATTTATTTGACTTCGATTCAAAGAAACTTAATTTCTTCGTCAAATCGTTGGTCCTTGACAACATTTTTGAGAATCTCTAAATAATACAAAGATTTTCTTTGAATTATATTTGATTATCTTTGAGAGAAGATTATCAGAAATATCTCCATAAAAGGTTTTTACTTAATTCGAAAATTTCGCTTGACCACCAACTTCGCCGTTATGTAAATAGCATGTTAAAAAATTGTCGATAATTTTAATTTACCAAAACAGATAGTGTAAAACAATCTTACCTGGAGGAATTTGACGACTTTACACATAAACTCTCCCGCATACCAAGCGATTGTTATTTTCTGAATTATGTCAACAAACACGTAAATCAGTCCGACGAAGAGATCTGTAACAAATAAATTATAATTAAAAACAAAATAAAAACATCATCTGTAGATAGTATGCATATAAACATGTTAAAAATCTTAAGAGCGGGCGCACACCTTGAACTAAACTGTGGTGCGATTGTCGATTGTATCGCAGCTAAATCAACTGTTTATTTGCACAACTAAAAATATATTACATGCGCTATATCAGTTGTGCGATAGTTGAGTTTCAGGTTTGCGCACTCTCTAAGAATCTATAACCCACTTTGACCCTTAGTAAAATGTCATTATGATGATTTACGAATATGCCATGCGAGTTTTCCGCCAAAACTCCTATTCACTATTGCATAATAAATTTTCTTCATTTCCGGTACGCTACCATTACTATACAAAATAATGGTATACGTGTATTGTTAGTGTACTTTTACTACATTGATACTTCAATATGAAACAATTATTTTGAACGTATTAGTTCATTACTGCGATAAAGATTTTATTGTACCCAAACTTAGGACTTTTAATTCCTCCTACGATACGATAAGTCTTTCAATTTTTTTTTATAATAAAAGGAGGCAAACGAGCGGCGTCAACACCAAGGTGGTCAACGACGCCCATGGACATCCGCAACACCAGAGGAACTAAAGATTTGTTGTCGGCCTTTGAGAAAATGATAGGCTCGCTTCTTGAAGGACCCTAAGTCGTATTGGTTTGGAATTGTATTATTTCCAGTACAATAATCATACTAATATTATAAATGCATAACTTTACATGGATGTTTGTTAGAGTTTGTAGACTAAACGGCTGAATGGATTTTGATGCAGATGTAGAGATTATTCTGGAAGAACACGAAGGCTACTTTTGTATTTTTCAATTTCACGTAAATGGAGTCGCGGGCGAAAACTAGTTGTTTTTTTCACTATTTTAATTAAAAATTCTCAATGTAATCACAGTTAAACTGGCGAAGTATTTCGTAATTATCTTCGCTTAATATATTTTTTCCTGAGGCTGTAATTTCATTAACTTGGCAAACTTTAATGGGGCATAATTTCTATGGTATAATAGACGTGAACGGTCCTCCATAAATATCTAGCTAACAAGACAGTTTTAGATAAAATTAGCACGTTTCAGCCCACGTCTGACGTTTTTATGGCGAGAAAACTGCATAATGGCAATAAAAACGACGTTTACGATTGTAGAAAAAAAACTGTTAAATTTGTTGCGAATTCCTACGAGGTATGCGAAAGATAAATTGGATTGTTTTAGAATTTATGTCTTTTATGATTTAGAAGGCTATCTTTTTTATTGTCTTCTTTATACTGATCATAACGATTGAAGTGTAGATTTTATTAACACAAAGAAAAAAATTGACGAAAAGAAATTGACAAAACACACAAAATGATGAAAAATTTTACAAAACGAATTTAAAATGAATTAATACATTACATTATTTTTTTGGTATATCAGTAATAGTAACATCGTTAAAGTTATTAAATACTTGTATAGTCCGGTAAGGCTATCTCCTCCGGTGGATAAAAGTTAAACTAAATTATGAGAGCTTACTAGAGTCCCCCTTGTTATATCAATGTGGGTTTTACATATTTTCGGATAGAAGCGGTGACACTTGGCCAGATATACTTATCAAACTAAATGCGACGATAACTAAATAAAATATCACGAATATTTTGTTCCATAAATAATTGATTTTCTTATAAAAAATGTTCCATAGTCCATAGTACATAGTAGATTTTGTTTAATTTACGATTCACACGAAAACATAGTAAAGTTTATTTACGTACGCGTTGTTTTAACTAAAGCGTTACTTCATATCAGACATAAATAGGTTTGCATTGATGGAAAAACGATACGAACCGATGAAAATCTGTTATCCCACACGCGGATATTTATCTATGAAGTTTCATAGTTTGTAAAATATATTTTATACTTATTTTTTATTATAATAATATTTTCTTTAAACCTCATAGTGTTTTTCGTGCGGGATATCGAAGTAATTTTACACATAAAGAGATCTGATACTCCTAAAATATTGTACAGATATCCTACAATGTACTCCAATTTGATAGCAATAATTGAAACAAGACCAAGTAAATCAGATGTACTCTACTCGCAACATTATTTCCCCGTATAAATTGTCTAATAATAAAACGTCAATATTTAAGCAACAGCAATAAAACCGAAGAACAATAAATCAAATCCGACACATACAAATCTTTTCCAAAACATAATAAATTGAATAAAACGACGGAAACGATCCGAAAAGCTTTGAAATACCATGAATTTGTTATAGCAGGCTTATCCTCAAGTTCGCGGGATCTCGCAAGGAAAATATATCCAAGATTTTGAACGTTTTGCTGTTATCAATCCGAACAAATATTTCTATGCCTGTTAGGAAATAAGCTGTCATGTCATATGCCGGGTAATAAAATTATTCCACAAAAGAAATAACCTAGTTCCAAGAAATCAAACCACAAATATAACAAGAAAGTTAGGGAATTCGAACACCAGAATAACAAAGTAAGTTTGTTTTTGTTTTTGTACTAAAATTTATTAAGTAAGTAGTCTATAAAAAAAAAAACATTCACAAATGAAAAAGATTTCAAGTAGAGAATGGTAACTAACCCTTCGAAATCAATATTAATAAAAATCATGATACGTAACTAATCTTCAAATCTCCGATATCTAAGTCATCACTCCCTCCTTGATCATGTCACCATTCACGCAATCAATTCATCACTTTTTAGGTCTACCTCTAAAGTGTACCTCCAATACTTCCTCATAACTTGCCCAACCTTTTACTCCTTATATCTACCACTATCTTGTATTTTCTCATTTTTAAAACACTTTGTCATATTCTCTCATATTTCTATGGCTCAATTTATTAACTATTTCGTACCACAGCTGAATATAAACTAAAAATTTAGCAACAGTAAATATAGAATTCAAAAAGGATAGTCAAGAAGTAATTTGAAGTGCGGCAAACCGTAATGATGTTCTCTACATCATAATTCCGTAGAACAATTTTACACATCGTTGCTCTCAGTACGTTCAACTTGACGTTTATGTCATCTTTTACGACTGTACTTTGTATTTGTTAAGAAAAATACTAAAATTTTGTGGTGATATCAGCTAAACTTTAGTATTTCACTACACATCTTTTAGTGCTTTCCTCAGTCAAGGGAACTCGTAAAGCGGTACGATTTGCATCTTCATAAAAGCTTAAGTTTCATAAAAAAGATACAACTTGAAAAATGATAAGACCTTTGTCTTATGCGGTTTTAATGATAAAATCGGGTGAACATATCCGTATTGTTTATGGTGTTAGACTTGATATGACTAGATCTCTAATGTTACATGAAAACTCTCGTGACTTAGTTAAAATAATGTACTAAAGGAAGATATTTTTGTGTTTGAAAATGTTTTTTTTTATTAAGACAGTAATTATTCAAAATCTTGTTATAGAGAGTGTAAAATCAAGATTATTAAATAACCAAGAATGAAATGGTTACTTATTGTTTGTGCAATTGATTGAGCAAGTGTAACTACGTTGTACAATAAAATAAAATTTCTGTTCTAGTTTTTCTATTCTAACAATCCTAATCAAAGCTTATTTCGTTACTTCGGACTTAATATATTCAGTAAACATTTTGCTGGATATAATAGCGCTGACTATTAGCAATCAGTGAAGAGGTCGTAAATAAATTTCGATAGTCCTCAGCAATTCAATCTCACTCCGCTAAGAAGCTGAGCCTGTTCAACTCAATGACTAAGTGCTCCCTAAAAATATATTTACTTAAAATGTATACTTATTTATTCAAATTGTATTCTTAAATGATTAATTTAATTAACTTCTTTTCATTTTTTGACGTTGTAATTATATCGATTTGTAACAGAGATAGACTCCTTCGCTTTCTTTATTTTAAAACTAGCTTTTACCCGCGACTCCGTCCGCGCAATATTAAAAAAAAAACAAAAGCAAATAGCCTATGTGTTCTTCCAGATTATTTTCTACATCTTTTTTAAAATTTCATCCAGATCCATTAAACAATTTAGGCTACAAACTCTAACAAACATCCATCCATTCATCTAAACTTAGCATTTATAATATTAGTATGATTGTAAAGTTAATAAGTTAAAAGGAAATACTTGTATTATTTATGAACATTAGTTTGTTTTTTGTTTTCAACTCGTGCAATTAATACATTATTTTATGTATAAAATGTGTACATTTTCCTTGTTTGTTCAGAAAGAAGAAATATTCGTCATTTCGACTAATCCTTCGGGAGGTCAATCACAAAGAAGTGTTCCAATAAAGTTGGTTTTTATTTCCTTACGCGCAGCTCCCGGGGGTCAAGTAAAAATGTTAACGTTGAATGTTCTGTAACAGCTTTGTCACAATCGTAAATCAAGCATTATTTATTTGTGAGACATTTGTGCGAAATAACTACTTATGCAATACTATTTTCTCCGCTTAAAGGATTTTTTTATTATGATTTTGTGTGTCAAAAACCTAGTCTACATTTTAGGCATCTTTTATTAATCATCTTGTAAGTTTTAATAATCAGAATCAGAAGATATAGGTCTTTCATAAATATTCTGTCTTTCGGCACCACAGCCAGTTGCTCCCTACCCGTTTTTCAAGACCGAGATTAAAAAAGTCGCTGTAATTTTCACAGTTGACTTTATATTAATGTTGTTTTAAAATTGTATTACGCACTTACTATATTTACGAGTATACGAGCCACGACTACCGTGGGTTTACACTGCTGTTACAAAGACATAATGTTGTAATCCACGTTTTTCAGAGTCATAGGCAAGATGTGTCTCGACAGTGACAACTAGTTCTGACTGGTTGAACTATTTCTATGTTTTTCACTCACCTGCAATCGCCAACTGCATGATGAAAAAGTTCATTCTACTCTTCCTCGCGTTGGTACAGAGCAGTGCCGCTATCACTGACGAGTTCAGCACCACAATTAGTACGAACAGCACCCACATCACCGTAAACTGTACAGACTGCAAAAAAATGGAGACATTCACTAAATTTCTTTTTTTACAAATTCTGAACTTGTATTTATTTTTAGGTCTACTTAGAATGTAGAAAATGTTTCTCTGCTTCAATTTTGTAAATTTACAATATTTGAAACCCATATGCTTTCCCGTCTGTAGCGATTTCCGCTTTATTTGCTTTATTTTTTAAATAAATAAGTTACTAAAAAGTTAATTTAAACTACTTAATCAATATTTCCATTACAAAATACATCTTGAACGTAATTAAGTGGAAATGCGTGCCAAATAACAAGATCTTTCCAACATGTGGTTCCAGTTGTCGGTTGTTCGCGCAACTGTCGATACGCTCTAAATTATGGCGGTCGCTTCGTTTGAATTCGACTCATGAACAAAATTATATCGGAAATATATTTTGCTATTCGCGGAATTTTCACTCTATTCGTTTAATCTTATTTGCTTTTTACTTTCCGAATTCTAAACCACACTACGAGTATAATATCAGATTTATGAATGTAAGAAATATTACTGCATTTATCGATTGCTTTTTTGTAGCGTGTTCAAATATCAAACTAAACTGTCGCACAACTGTTTAGTCTTGCTTTGATTCCTATGAGCTTATATGCAGGTGCGCATACTTCTCGATTCTTAGTTGTGCAACTATCTAAACAGTTGAATAGGCTGCGAAACAATTGACAATCGACAATCGCACAACAGTTGTGTGATAGTTTAATAAAAGGTCTTTAGTGTAGGCTTGACTTATATATAAAAAGACTTGTATATAAAAAGTTATGGAACGAAAACATGAGTTATATTCCCAATGTAGCCAAGCCCTTGAAACATGTCGGGTTATATGAAAGCAAATCAATCCCACACCCACTACATTTTCAGGTGGATTAAGTAGGCAGTAAACGTGAAGGGATTTAATCGCGTAATGGACGCTCTCTCGTATCGTGCGACATTGATAGTGCTATCAAGCCCGATGTCCGGACGAATATGTTTTCAACAACCTCCCCAATGTTACTAACGCTTAACGTATTGCTATTTTCTATGAAACTAGATAACCCTGCCATCTATTTTCCTCCCTCTAGACAAAGTTTACACTCGAATAGTAATATTGCTGTTCGAAGTCAGGAATGTATCGAATTCACAATGATTTTCTATAACTCATATACTTGTCGCGCCATTCATATACATTTTGACACATTTTATTGATTCTACTACCGATATCGCTAATCCAGTCATTTTGTCTAATAGACTAGTCGCGCACGAGATATACTTCTATGATTTTCCACTGGTGCTGAGCGCTAAAAAAGTCGTGTGTCGACCAAAGCCGTGTTTGTTTGCTTGGTTAAAAGAGATTTAATTACTCTGAATGAAGAATTGCGAAACATTTCATTCAGAGTTTATTTAGACGCTAAATGTACAGATGATTGTATTTTTAAAAATATTAATTGCGGTACTACTATTTTTTAAAGTTTTTGTAAAAGCACACTTACATCGAAAAAATAGTAAAAATTGACACTTTGTTCCTTGACATCGGTTACATTTGTCCACGAGCTTTGATTTTCGTATTCTGGGTAAATTGTCGTAAAAAAGGATGTGCTTGGCGTCGTTTGTAGTTCCATCTCTTCGATTATTATTTCAGGATCCATGATTCTGCAACAAAATAAAACAGTATAAATTGTTTTATAGAAACAAATACAAACGTTTTAAGAGAGACATTATTTTTAATAAGGAACTAGTGTAACAAAGACCTACAATGGGAAGGATATAAGAGTATATCTTTAGTAAAACCTGGTTGAAATATATACTGATGCAAATAGATTAAATCTTTCAGATAGTATCATATATCAAGAGTAATTATATTAAAGAACATAGTATTGTGAATAAACCCTATTTAAACAATCTTTGGAGTAAGATTATTAAATGTATATTTTACAATGAAACTAAGAAAGTCGTAGGGTAAGAAACATATTATTATGTTTTTTTTTATTAAAAAAAAAGATCAAATAACCTGAAAAAGCCTAAACATTTTAATGAACAGTTTACGATCACATGGATATATTGTTAGTTTTAATTAAATTTGCATGTGCTGCGTTTGACGAAAGATAAAATTAAATTTTGCGAGGCATTTTTATAAAACTCTACGTTTCGGTTTTATGGAATATTTTTAGCTCATACAGCGTGCTCTAATATTGATAATTTCTAAACGTTAATAAACTAAAATTAATAAACAATCTACTATATTACTTCAATTTGTATAGATTAAAGCAAATTATAAACATGCAATATTGACTAAAAATAACTTTAATGTGACATTTAAAAAAAGTAATCATTTTTGAAACATTTTCGGCCATAGATACTAGCAAAATTTATCTCAATTCTGTCGTAAAAAGTCTTAAGTATTAATTGCTTTACGGATTTTCGGTTCAATGGGCAATAAGAATTTTCACTTAATTGATAATAATTAAACGTTTTTTCTTTATTACTTCCTCTTTGCCTTCATAAAATGTTTATTGAATGAAATTACTCTGCGTTAAAATCTTATTAAATCTAAATTAACCGTAAAAATTCTCTTTAATTTTGAAGCACGCAAGAAAGGCATAATTTTTATTTTTGTCTAATGTCTGCTTTGCTTTCATTAATAAAATGTAAATAAGTTGTAGTTTAGAAAACAAATATAATCAGAAATTTTCAATAAACAATCTAATGAAAAAACTTTGTCACAAAACAAAATCTAATAAAACGTCGAAAGGCAATGGGTCAAGAAAAAACTTTCTAACAAAAAAAAATGTTACATAGGTAAATGTGTATGTGATTTTTGTATAGGAATTAAATAATTATTATGTACTTTATTAGGTATAATAATAAATATTATGAGATAAAGAAAGATTTGATTTTTTGTATGTATTGATATAACTCAAAAACTACTCAGCAGAAATTAATAATTGTTTTATCGTTAGAAAAGTAATTTATCTGTGAGTAACATAAGGTAATGTTTTTTTTTTGTTTTTTTTTTATTTCACGTAGGCAAAGTTGCCAGTAACTGCTAGTGAGTTATAACCACCGATTACTATAGAATTAATGCAATTTCTATATGACATTCTAATTCAAATCCCGACCATTTTAGTCACCATAATAACGTTCAATGGCCACTTTCTCAAGACAAAGTATTACGTTTATTGAATTATTATGTTAATCTGTTTGATATTCCTGTAAGAAGTCGACCATTTAATCAGGTCACGTCACATCATGAGAGATAGGTTATGCTACGTGAGGTGCTCTGAGTTTTGCATAAAACCTCTTTGGACGCACAGAAATAAACTGTTAATTTTAGCTTAAAAGAAGGAATGTTTTACAACTATTATAATAAAATTACTAATTAATATAATTTAAGCGATGACGAAGTAGAGGCTATTTTATTAAACGAAGTCCGCATGAAGATTGCCATCAAATGCTACATCGATTACTATATTAAAAATATATAATTCGTCAAACAGTCTCGCATAAAAAAAAAACAGTTTTTAACTACAGTCATTTGTTTATGATAATTTTTAAACTAAACTAGTTAACTCAGGTTAACTTTGAACTTGTCCACCTATTGTGATATCGAATTAAACTTTAACAATACTAATTCAAGTTGAGAAGCTAGACAATCAAATTTCCCTAAGACCCGTAGACTTCAAAACGCTTTAAACAACAAACACTAATTCGATGCTATGAATCAAGTACTTGGTATGCGTTCATTGAGTGAATTCCAAATGAGAGAATGCTCTTTAAATCGAAAGCTATTCGATTCCTTAATCGTTATCGATAAATCGGATATTCTGCAATTCTTAAAAAAGTATACTCAACATGAAGTCATAACAGCGTTAGTTAACTGAACGTGTCCTTTTATTAGTGTAGTAAAAAAATAAATAATTATTTCTTGTGTACAAAGGTCGAGTATCACTTAACATAACATAACTTGATAACCGTTATTCCTAATTAAGTTATACAAACCATTTACTTTGTTAATACTATTTATATCCAATATACTTATATACCAATAATATTATTATATAAATAGGAAAGATTTGTGGTTTTTAATTTTTATATGTATTTGATTCACGCAAAAATTACTGGGCGGATTTTAAAAATTCTTTAACTATTTGAAAGGTAATTTAGTGTGAGTAACATAGACTACAATTTTTAATTTCACGTGGACGAAGTCGCGACCAACAACTAGTTAGAAATAAATACTGACACAACATTTCATTCCACAAAACACAACTTGTTACCTTCAATTTTAAACCACCTTTATTTAAATACGCTAATAATATGAGTAAAGGTAGCAGTTGCATAAAACATAAGAGTGAAACATATTAATAAATATAATCACATAAACTAAAATCCACATAAGTATCAAGAAACATTTGCCTTAAATTATTGAGTATGTTCTCATACAATCGGTCGATATCAGAAGTGCAATAAATACGCCCGAACGTTCCCCGCCAAATGTTCCTGGCGCCTTTAAGCACCGCGAACTCAAGTACCTTTTGTGTAGCTGCCAATAATTTTACGGGTAGTACTTGTAAGTTTTTTCTTTGCAAAAATCTGACATAAACATTTAATGTTAACGGAGAACTTACGTTTTTTTGAACAAACCAAAGACTATTTTTTTCTCCCACTGGTTTAATTATTTTTAAACATTTATTTAAGCTTTTCCCAATAAGAGTGGAAATTCACGGACTGTTTCGGCCTAACGTGATATACAATTTCGATAGACTGTACAATAAGAAGCCAGAAGACGTCATTTCTAATAGCATATGCACACCTTCGACTAGATTATCGCATAACTGTTATGCGATTGTCGATTGTTTCGCAGCCCATTCAACTGCTTAGTAGCACAACTAAAATCTCAAGCTCAGAGTAATTAAAGAGCGAGATTTAAAAGTTGTGCGATAGTTTAGTCAGAAGTGAGCGCGCGCTTAAAGAGTATCTGAGCTTAATATTTTCTTTCCATCATTTATTTCCTGTAAATAAAAATTATATTTCTTGCTATTTTATTGACGTCTTAATAGCTTTAACCTTGACCATAGAAAATGTGACACATCAATCAAGATTAATTTCAACCATTTGATGGTGACACCCGCTGCCTAATATAACCTTCATTTAAAATAAAGGGTTTCGACCTATATATCAAAGGATTTTACGCAACAGATATCTAGGAACATAATAAATAAAATGTTTACTGGACATTAACCTTTGGCTGTCCTAAATACCTTTAATAAATTTGTGATGTAACATATAGTGATAAATTTTACACCATTACTCTTTTGAGTCCAATTAGAATAATATACGTGAACTTAATATTACTTTTTTTATAATTTTTGGTAATAACTCCGCGCAATTTACGATATTATGAAGTAACCAGAAATAAATTTTAAAGAATCTCCGACTGCCTTCAAACGAACAGGCAAAGAATACGAATTTAAATTTACCTTCATCTTTACTTCATCTCTCTTCTTTACTTCAATATCACAATGTGCACAAATTGCTTCTTTGTGAAAAAAATGTTTTAGGTCCAAGGAAATAGAAAGTATATTTTTTTAATAATTATTGCACTAGTTTCGATCTTGTACTTACAATGTTGAGAACGAACTCTTGCCAATGTAACAAATTCGCTGGCCTGACAACTTTGTTGTGAAGTTCGACCGCAAAATTGTTGTTGACAATGTAGTTAAAATAGGGTCAGCAAACAACACTTGTTAAATAAAAACTTTTGGGGTTATTTTTATGTAAACTAAACTATATCTTGATAACAATCTATTTAAAATGACTATGACAAAATTGATTTTATCAAAGCATACTTCGAGCATATTGCGGAATATTTTTGATACTTAGGGCCTGTCCCACCACTAGCTGAAAGAGGAACAGCCTTAGAAATTGCGTCACTGTCAAATAAGGTAACAAAATCCGATTTTCCATCACATATTTCACACGTTAGATTGTTATCAGACAATTTACAATTTGGGGTGACAGGCCTTAAAGGTTTTTATTGTTTTCATCCTTAGATATGATAACGTAACGTGTAAATGGTTAATTGCCTATAGTCGATATCATCTATACTATTATAATAAAGCCTAAACACACACTTCTTTGTTGCCTAAGATGTCAGCAATTACAGCATATTTTTGAATATTTCTTTTTTTTACAACAAGCCCTACACTTACGTCACGCTTTAAGCTTTATGTTTTCACGCCATTAAACGTAGGGGGTTATTATTTTGGATAAAAACCCTTATGTGGGAAAGATACCATAAGTTGCTGCCAACATCAGGTAAGGAATATTGCCATAGTAAGGTATATTTTAACATTTGCATAGGAGAATTTGACAATTGTAAACAATAAAATATTTTTTTTTAAATCCATGCGGGTGAAGCCGTACGGGAAAACAGCTAGTAAGTAATATAAAATGTTTTAGTATGCAACAAACTGTTAACAAAATTCGAATTTTTCAAAGCATGTTACGGTTAAATTGTGTTAGTCTAGACTGATCAAAAACTGACAAAAATAATGATTTGTAATAAAAGTTTTCACTATAAAAATCTACAGTAATTTTTTTATATTATATTAGTAAATGTAAACTGGCACGGAGTTATAAATAATCAAGCT